CTATGGTTACATTAGTTTAACTTAATAAATCTAAGAAAAATTTGACCAGATTTTAGATAAAATAAATCTGAACTGAAATCACAGTTAACAGGCAGTCACTACTTAGCCTTCCTTACCAATAATCTCAAGATTGATGTTCACCACTTGAGTAAAGTTTTCAGAATTCAAACCCACTGTTACGTTCAGAGGCTAAGGGTTATCACTTATTTATTTTAAGACCGCTGCCTCATTGCTTGCCCAGTCTATTTATTCTTTCTATATGGTGTTACTGATATTCACATGAAATGTTACACAGGATCGGAGTTACAACTACACACTAGTAGTCATTCTGAAGACCTAACAAGAAATCCTAAGACAAAAGATGCCACAACAACACAGGTGGCAGATTCAGTAACAAGATACTTCACTCAAACTGCCAACCAGCCCTCAGTAGGCTGAGGAATAGGTCTGTTAAAAACGATACTCTCCTCTTCACTGGGGCACCACTGCTGACCGCGATCATGATCAGTACAAGACTGCGACACAGAATTTCAGAAAACACACTGTCTCCATTTTTGGCCTCTGGCTTAGCTAACACAACCAAGCATGAGGTCAGGTCACCTTCAAACTTCTAAGAAAAGGCTCCTAGGAAGGAAAGGGAGGCATACAGCTGCTCTTTTGCTCTCAGGCATTCTTCCACAAAAGAAAAAGGGAGCTTGGGCATATGATGGCAATGTGTGATGAAGAAACTATTTTTTCTCTGCAGACAAGCTAGTTCTCTCTGTCTAGTGACACCAGCTCCTCTTCAGGAGGACCAGCCTCCCAGATGCCTTTATATGTGCCCTGTTAATGAAATCCTTGTGTTCTCAGGACCCATGGCAAGCCACATCTTCCTCTGGGGCCTGACAGCCTCCCTGAGCAAGCACTCCAAATGTTAGGTTGCATCTCATCCATTGATTTCCTTTGTCAGGAACATGACAAACACAATCCCAGCAAGTTAAGACAAGGACCTAGGTGGAGCCTTCCAAGGTCAGGATCCCTGTCTGGGCAGAGTCCCCCCAGCTGCAGGAAGAAGAAAGACTAACAACCACATTGGTGATACACCATTTTTCATACACTTCTTCCCTCTAGGTATCTGTAACAATACCTTCCTTGTTTTGTCTTGGCAAACTTGGCTGGCTAACATATTTGGTCTCACAGGTGTTTCGGTCTCTCCAACCACTAGCAACTATAGGCCATTAAGAAGTTCTCATGCTGCCAAAGAAACCTGCACTCTGGACAAAAGTATATAAGCCTAATAAAACCTGTAACCTGATGTAAAATTTAAGTCACCAGTAAAGGTGGACCCTCTGAACTAATATGTACTTAACATGCTACAGCAAAAAGGTATATAGCAAATTATTCAGTGTTCCAAAAAATATCAAAAGGCTCCCTACATACCAACATGTTCCCTCCTATCAAACATAATTATAATGATGTGTGTGGGTTAATTCCAACATTGCACTTTGTATTCAAGTACCACACAAGAAATTTTTCTGTTTCTGGAAGAAAAGCTTACCAGAAGACCACGTAATTTAAAAAAAATACAAAAAGGGACTATTTGGCAGTGATCTGAAAACACCCCGCAGATTCACCATGCCTCACTCTTTTTCCTCACAATCACAGGTCAAACTAGAATCTCCCACCAAACTTCCAGATTAGAATGAAGAAAGGTTGCTATGACAGACAGACAATTAATACATAAGCCCATAGTAATTTTTTTAAAATAAGAATCAGTATTTCAAACTAATTCAATATTTCACAAAGAAAATTCAGGTATGATGATTTGGGCAGCTGGCATTTATTGTAAAACCACTTCATTACTGGGAGCTCTTTCCTGTAACTGCAGGAGGCTACAATCTCCAATACTTACTACAATATCTCTACAGTATCACTGCAGAGCCTGTTTACCCTGTGTCTCATTTTTTGTTACGATATTGAACCAAAATCCACAGCAGGAGATAGGAATTATTATGCTTGGCACTGGACTAACAATGGCGTATCATTAAGTTTTGATGAGTGTCTCAAAGGAAAGTAGTTTTCAAGTCTGAACGTGGGGGACAGGCAGGAGACGAAGCAACAGATTGTGGGGAAAAACTTTGATCATGTCTCAGGTTGATCAAAGGGTCACCTGATACTTTTTAAAAGTCTCCCTGGGCATCCTGGAGACTAAGGTAGAAGAGACCAAGGGAGATGCTCTAAAAGCAGACAGTGTTATCAATTGCAAGGCAGGCCAGAGTAAATGGAAACTGGCTTCAAAAGAGATGAGAAATAAGTTATGATTTGAAGAAAAGTTTGGAGCAAAAACTGAATTCCCCACAGTGCACAGATTTTGACACCAAGTACATTCAGGAAGAAATTGAAGGAAAATGTGTTGTCATTATTATTTGGTTTATCTTGCTTTAAACAGTCAAAAGGAAGATTAATTGATTTTTAAAGGCATCACAAGGATCAAGAATCCAGCCTGTGCAAAACCTATTCATTTTACGAACTCAGTAACACAAACCTCCTCTGGCAACAAAACTGCCAGACGCTACAAAAACAGGCAGATACATTTCCTTGCCCCCTGCCTGGCAGTCGTCAGCTTCTGGATTCGGTAATAGAGCAAAGAAATCCCAGTGGAATTTCATCCTCCAGGAGCCAGCAGCAAACCCTGTGTACTTTTGAACTGATAAGCAATGTCCAGCCAGAAAAGGAGATTTGCATTCTTCAGGAACACAAAGTCTCATGGAGTGCTGTTTCTCTGTGCTTCCATCTGTCTACAGTCTGCTCCATTCCTCCTTTCTGCCTTGCATGTGGCACGAGCTTCTGTGACCGTCTATGTCAACGCAGCCAATGTAAATACTGCTGCATGCAGTGCCAGCTGTCCCAATCCCTGTAAAACCTATCTGAATGGCAAATACAGACTTTGACAGGATTTTCTTGCCACTATTCTTCCTACTGTTGGCACAATAAGACATGATATTTGCTGAGGATCATGCTTTGGTTTACCTTAAAATAGGTATCACCACATAGGTACAGCAGAACTACTTATTAGGTATAGTTTATGTGCCTCATTTTGAAAGTACTATAACAGAGATGCATACAAATTGACCTATTATCTGAGCTGTGCCTTAGAAAAACAGAAATTCATCTGCTGAAGATATATCCTGTGGCTCTACTTCAGAAAATAAGTCTGCACAATGAGATTGAAGCCCAAGTACATTCAGAGGATATTTAGTAAGTTTACTTGCCTGTCAAGAGCAGTAAGAGAGAATTAAGGTTCATCAGGAGGAGACAGTAATGGATGCTTGTGCAGTCCTGACAGACAGTGCTACTACAGAAAATCACATTAATGCAGTTAAGATCTTGATTAAGCAACAATTACTTCCACCCAACACCACTAATTTAATATATGCAAGCCTGACTTAGCAATTCATAATGGAATCTAAACCTACAGAAAGCAGATAAAATTCAAATAATCAAAATACTTTGTTTTCTCTGACAGCCATATATGTAGCTAGCCAAATAACAGATGAACATAAAAGCTGGTCTCTCTTACTATATTTCAATGTCTAGCTCTGAAATTAAATTAAAGGAAGGAATATACTTTCTTCACTTTAAAAAAACCAAAAACTTTTACTTCAAGACTTTTTTTTTTTAATCTGGACTACATATTAAACTGAAGACATATCTTAAGTTTAGAAGAAAGAGCAGCAAAGGGCAGCAAGCCAAATTACAGACATTAATTACTCTACAGAGTGTTAATGTTCTCCTAATGTAATTTTTCACTAAGTTTTACTGAAATTGAAATCATATTACAGTTCTTGACTAGACACACTAATTCTACATTCAATAAATGTAAAGAACATAGACTTTCTGATAATTCAAAAGTTCACAGTGCATTTTGCTGGGATAAAGTTCCAGGCCAAAACTTGCTGACTCTCTTCATACTGAGGCTGTGCTCATTACAAGATGTTACACTCTTCTGAAGGTAACAGCTAAATAAAAAAATATTTTAAATGGAACAAAAAACACAGGGTAACTTTCAAAGCAAGGAACTGTTCCGTTCATTGGATAACTAACACCTGCGGAGGAATGGTGTAAAACAACATGTGTAAAAATGCTAAGTCAGACATTGTACTCTGAAGACATCTTGCTTCTACTTCCAGGCCAGAAGAGGTAGTACATTTTCTATGAGGAAAGCACTGAAGCATAGATCTCCTGGTACCCTTCTCAGAAAGCAAAAGTCACAGTTTTGCTAAGGCGAAAAGTACATTTTCTAAGAAGCAGAAAGCAGAGAAAGGATCTGGGTATTCTGACCAAAGTGTCCAACAGTGATTCAGGCCATGCTCCAGCTGGGAATTCAGCTCCAGACAGCTGAGGAAATCCCATAGACTATCATCTATGCAAACTGCACCTTTGGATGTCTCATGAAACACAGAACAAATGCACGATTAGTCATAATGAAGATCAAAATTACGTAGCTCAGTAGAACTCAAGGCTTTAATACTTTCAGATACCACATGAAAGAATAAATAAGTGACGTGCCAAAGGTCACAGCAGTACAGCGAGAAAAACTCACTTCCAAGTCCTACTTCACACTGACTTGCTCTCACATGCTGATGCTGACAGTATACAAACACCAACATGCAGCACAGTGTTGCCTTTTACAAACAGTTCTTTGCAAAACTAGAATAAACCCTCTTTCTAATGTATTGTTTCCAGTGCCTGCCTTAGTAAGAAGAAAAAGTAATCAAGTTCAGCATGACAAGCCTACACCTGTACAAAACCGGGTACATGAATTAAATTTTGATTTTTAGCTGAAAATTTCCAACACCCTACTCTCTGGATAAAGTGGCTGAAAGAAAGAAAACTCTTTCAACATAAAAATACAGTAATAAGCATGTGAGTCTGCAGGGCAAGGGGTAGGGAGAGGTAGGGGTATTAATATGCTGTCAAAGAAAAGGTATAGCTTATACAGTCAGTATGTTTCTACTCACTGTATTAGGTACATATGGCAATCCATAAATTTTCTCCTGTGTTTCCTTTAGAATTTCTGTGGTTGACTTTTCTAAAGGATGTTTCCCATGGTAGATTTGGTCCAAGGCAGCATAAAATACCTGAAGAGATAAAATACATGTTTGTCTTTGGCACATGGCATTGGCATTTGACAACCAAAAAAGACAAATAAGAAAGGAGAGAGAGAGAATAGGGAGAGGGAAGAGTTTAAATATGTATGGTTTTGAAAATCTTCTATTTTTAGTATAACACGCAAGGAGAAAAACAGGTTTTTGAAGCACAACAACCACCATCATGACCTAAATCTGTGTTTAGGTCACTGAGAACACTGGAAGTACTAAATCACCTGCATTTTTGAATAAAATTAAGACCTGCCCCTAAAGCCCTCCAGTGAGTCCCCTTTTCAAAAAGAGTATTTTAAAATAGATTTAATAAAATGACTAAAAGTTATTTGAGTGGCAATTTTTGTGCAGAAGCATGTGAACTACAGCAGAACACAGGTGCACGACTAACTTCCTGAGGTGTTTGAAGATCAGAGAAGCAGCATCAATAAAAAGACTTTTCAAGCAAAGACAGCAAAGCAGAGTATCTGGCACTTTAACAGCAAACATGAAATAGGCATGGATGGAAGACAGTGCCAAGGCTCAGTGTGTGCCACCACTGAAAAAAATTGCAGCATTTATTTCTTTTAATATGAAGATTTCCTATTCTGTGGAAGTGCAGGGAAGACAGAAAAAGAGCCACCCACTGCTGTGCAATGCAAGATATTTTTGAGAAGTTTGGTGGATCCAGATATTTAAGCTGAAGAGTTCAGGTCAGGCCATCCTGTGGTAGGCACATTTCATAGGAAAACTGACAGCAGGGAGCCTCAAAAAGCTTTTGTGTAAGGGATGAAGCAAATAATTTGGCTAGAGATTCAGGCCAGTCACATTCCCAGGGACACTGCAATACCATTCCCAAGGAGATAAACACACTGTTTTAGGAATTATAACTACGAAATGCAGAAATTTTATGGAGAAAAGCTTCTTGGAGGTATTCTCCATCCATAGAGAATGGATGTTTTATGTGATCTGAATAACACAACCCCCTCAACCTGTGAAAAGATTCTTTATTATAAAATTTGGGTACAAAACCATTCTGAATTCTTTAATAATTTATCAGAATTCAGCATTTATTTTATTGGGGCTAGATACAACACAAAATTTCACCAAAATTGTGGCTGTTTCTAAAGGACCATATTCCTTCTACTTGAATAAGCTGTGTTCTAACATACAGAATCTTGATAAATCCTTTGAGAGTGTTTGTTGACAAATGATAAATTTGCAAATTTATTTTTTTCAAGAAAAACTGAGGGTTGTAACGAAAGGGCTGAAGAAGCCATGACTTTCAGGAGCTACTTCTGAATTGCCTACTTGCTTCCTACGGAGCTAATAAGGAGAAAAGAGATCAGTAAGACCTAAACTTGCACAATCAGCCATTAATGACACTGCAAGTTTTGTGTCCCAGATAGCAACACTGAACAAGAGATGCAAGCACTTAACATCACCCATCTACAAACCCAGAGTAGGCAGCAAATATCTGTTCAGAAGATAACTCCATGAAGACACTGCACCAAATGGCAAATAAGAAGTACTTTATTTTCTAAAGCCAAACTTTGCAAGTGTGTTTTTTATTTCCTATCATTATATTATATTATTCTATCATTATATTATAACTAAAAATCTAAAGAAAAACCTATACTCAATTGTAAAACCTACAATATTTTATACTTATTTGAAGAGATATGCCTTTCCATGTACTTTTCATCCTCAGAGCTGGTCTCTAGAATCCCAGGTAAAAAAGCTACAGCATTTATAGTAGCAAGGGTGACTGAGAATATGACCAACAGTAAGTACCATGAATAGATCTGAAAATTACCTGATATAGCAATCCTAGAAGACTCACTTTCTCCTGTCACTTTAGGCCTTTGTGACTCTGTAGGAGTCATTTCACATCAACTTCCCGTTCCTCTCAAAAAAAACCCAAGCCAAACCTGAGCAACTTCAGCATCTGACAATAGACTTTAGCATCCTGCTTCAGCCCAGCCTTGATTCTCTTTTCTTCTATCTTCCAGCTTTGTTAGGACCTGTTTGCAGTTTCTCTTCAGTGCTCCTCACAAGCTGGAAGAGACTGCACTGCAGTGGACCTTCTCTAAAGTAAAACTTGTAGTCAAATAGTTTGCGGTCAGGGAGCTGGAGCAAAAGCTCAACTCACAGCTAGTCAGTGGGGAAACGTCAGCTGAAGGCCAGTGAAATGGACTGCCTGAAGAACAATGTGGTGATAGGGAAATGAGTCACTGAAGCCATCTACAAGCTCTCCCCCGATCCTGGCACATGTAAAGCGTGGGAAGCAAGCTACGAGCCAGGCCACCTGGACAGTGCAATTTAAAAAAAAAAAAATCCATTCCAGAAAATAAACTTGGATTAATTTTATAGCCATAAGCACAAACCACAGTTCTGTGTGCTTACACAGGCCTCTGAAATGGGAAAGGGAGACACATCCCAGGACCACAGGATTTTAGGTGATACGGCCAAGGAGCATTGCTAACACTTGATATTAAGCAGTAGCTAGAAGATGATTTCTAAGTTCAGTAAAACACATTTCCCACAAGACCTAAAAATATGGAAAGGCCATCAAATAATTATCTTCATACTGTCTATTTTGCACCAACAGTGCAAAAACCATTATTAGTTAATATAGTTAACTACTTAACTAATAGAAACTATTTATTAGTTTCACTTGGTTCCAGTTCTTTCTAGCTCCTTGTCTGCTTAATAGCATTAATATGTAAACAGTTATGCATATTCCAGTGAAGTTACTACTGACTGAAAGTCTCTGGGACTCAAGCTGCATGGCAAAAGCCTCGTGAGAAGATGCATGCATTCTCCTATCTTTCCTCTTGAGTAACTGATTACGTGAGCTGGAAGAAAATCCAGAGGTATTATAGTTATGATGAAAACCCAGTATCATTTCTTATTTTCACATGCCAATAGACTTATGTTCTGAACGGACCAGAAAAAACCTTTAGGCACCTTCCCCACCGCTGGAAGATTTGCAAGCATTTTTCTTTCTTTTAAAGGTCAAATATGGCTTACATATCATCTAGTTGTCCATATAGAATATACTCTTTACAAAGTCTGAAGGAAAGTATTAGAGTCATCATTCACAGTTTTTTCAGGTATATACATTAGTAGTACATGTATACTCTGGCATCTGCAGATTGAAATATATGTTTTTCTTCAATGAATTATTATATTTTTAAATCTGCATGAGTAACAATACATGCTTCTATAAAGGAATGTATGAACTTTGTATTTTCCATGCAGTCTACTTCTCTGGGACATTTTTTCTGAATTCATAAAGAGAATAGCTCTGCCAGTCTGTCTCTTTGAAATTAGTGCATACTTCTGTGGGTACTACATTTGGAATCTCCAAAAACATGATGCTGAAAGTAGGAAATGAATAATATTATTCAGTGGGGCATTGTAGTCATTTGGCATGGGTTGAGACTGGTTGAACATTAGCTACACAAGAGTAATTTGAGGGCAAGCAGCCTGCTTAATCACTGCATCACTGCCAGCACCAGTCAATCATTAGGTGCCCACAGGAATGAGGCCACCAGAAGTGGGTGTTCTCTCCCCAGTTCTAAAGCTATGGGGTCTGGAGTCACTCTAGGACAGAACCTACAGAGATCCCAGGAGCAGCTGAGGGCCAACAGCGCCAAGAGGGTTGCAGAGTCCACCCCATGGGACTGATGCAATGACCCCTCCTTGACTTACTTCTGGAGCATGCCATCTCCCCCATCACAGGACAGGGAGGCCATGTCACTTGTTAATATATCTGTGATTTAAAGTGTTCTTGGTATACAAGCCCATTTAGCCCACACACTGTCAATTTTGTCTCAAACCTTGACAGATTACAGCAAATAAGTATTAAAAGTTGAAAGGAAATCTGTCAGATCTATATATAGCTGTTATGGGCACACCAGAAAAGAATGGGTGCATGTGAAAGCACTTGATCATCACTTTGGTGGTCACTAGTCTGTACATTGGCAAATCATTCTGTGTTGGTGGACTTCACAAACAGAGGTCCACCACTAAGCATTCTCAATATAAATTTTATTTCCATCCAGACTTGTTTCTTTCCGCCAAAAAACTCACTGTATTAATTAATTATATTCTTGCCCACATTCTTTCTAAATTCTCAGCTATCTCTATACGAGAACCTTTCAGAGCAAGGAGTGTGCATTTCAAAATCAGACCTGAAGAGAAGGTGCAATTATTTTCATGTCACAGAGGTATAGCCACAGGTAGTTCACACCTGCACAGCCAACGCTGGCCACTGACAGCCAGTGCTGCACTGAAAGAGTGATTAAAAAATCCATTAAGTTTAACCAATGAAAAATACATGTATATACTGAAAACAGTGTTAAGTCTGGTTTTGATTAGTGTAACTGACACGTATACATTTACAGGTCCACACTCCAGTATTCTGATTAGTTTTAAATCACTATAAATAACAGCCCAGAGCAAACTGCAAATATTTAACTAAGTTTTCCCTTTAAATCAACTTCAGTTAACCAGTGCAACTCATGTTTGTAGACAGGACTGCAATCATTTGGGCACTTTTCAAAGTGAAGAATTACAAAGATCTGACCTTTAAATTTGTTTCTTTCCATGTCTTGAAAATAATGACTACCCTTTATTAAGGTACTAGGAGAATTACCTCACCTAAACACTAGGTCAAGTGTAAAAAGAAAAATTATATGCTTCTGGCTTAAGGCAAAACAAAGAAGAAAATGAAATCACAAAAAAATCACACAGCAGAAGCTTGTAGCACACTAAATGCAGCCAAACTCTTACTGTAAAAAACAACTTGGCTGTATTCTAATGCTACTGTTCATATCTGAGAACTGCTGTTGCAAGACTGAAAACAACTAAATACCCATTTTAGATAGAACCCTAATTTCCTTTACTTCCTTTCAAGAAAAGCAACACTGAAAGTTTGTTTATGGGAATGACTGACCAATCACATCTTCCCACAGAAAATAAAGGTCTATGAATTTAATTACTGCTCCTTAAGGCTGTGAGAGAGAAGCCTTACAGCCTTATAGCTCAGCCACCAATTCTGATGGCAGTAACAAGTTGCCGCTTTCATACTGGAGCTGCAGAAGACAAGGAGCTCAGATCACATTCTAGTAAATAAATGAGCTGGTTTGATTTTACTAAGGTGGCCTGTATCTCTCAGTCCTGCTACACTTCAATGACTGGAATGTATGCGATACTTTCTCTACTGCAAGCTCTCCTTGGATGATTCTGTTAATTTAAGAACTCAATTTTAAACCACATTTGGGAATACTGATAATCCAACCATTTTCAAAAGCTGCAGTTTTCAAGATATTTTCCCACAAATTTAGACATTTAGCTTTAAGCAGATGGCATAGAATACATTCACAAAAACAAACATGAATACATAATATAAAATTAATTCATTTTCACTGTTTTGCATATAGTTAGATAACGTGTCTACATTAAAATAAAAATTTGGTAAAATTGTAAAAATTAAAATATGTTCTGTAAGTTCTGCATAGACTGTAGAGACTAAAATGCAAACAACATACCTGGAGCTGCATATCAGCAGCAGCACACACCTTTTTGGACTCACATAGTCTTGACACCATGTTTTTTGGTAGCGGCTTGAAAAAAAAAAAAGTCAGAACATATTTAGAGTTGTTGTATATTTGTAAATAGTATGCTTACTACTAGAAAAGGCTGAAGACAAAAAAAAAAAAGACTCCTGGTGATCATAAAAACATATTTGAGGTACTGTGCATTGAGGAAAGAAATCTCATTTGCTAAACAAAGCATTAAAAGGGCAATTAAGATATTGGCAGTAATTTACATAGCAATCAAAAAATCACTGTGTCTCAGCGTTTGTTCTTCTATAAGTTGATCCTATGTTCCCTTATATGCCTGTTAAAAATATTACAACTATCTTTAGAGTGAAAGAACAGATGGGGCAGTTAAAGTCCTTCCAGGTCATCCTGACTAATCTTCAAAAGCAGATATTATAATAGATTCTCCTGTTGTTCTTTGAGCATAGTTCACTTAGATTTATACAGAGGCCCACATAACCCCACAAGCTCAATGGGAGTTTTCATAACTTCAACTGTGACAGCATCAGGCCTTCTACCCTAACCCACATAAAAATGTTTGGTCATACTGAACTGAACAGTAGATATCTACCCTTTGAATTTTTTAACAAAGTTGAATTTATTCCACATCTATGCAATAAAATTATCCATGCCACCACAGACTGAAAGTCAGAAACATTTTTCAAGTCATTAAGCAAACTCTTTTTGACTTTCTATCCAGACGTCTACAAGTACATCCAAAGATTTTTTAACACCAGATTTTTAAAAATATCTGTATATGAATGCTTGACCTTATACTTCTTCCACTGCTTCCTGAAGCTTTTCAATAGATGTTTTTCCTAGTAAGCATTTTTTTTTGCTAGCAGTTTTATTAACCAAACATATCAAATATGGTTAAAATAACTGAGTTCCTGCTAAAATATTAAGAAAGTTACTACAATTTATACAATGTAATACAGATGTTTAGGATAACACTGAACTCTAAAAGCATACCTACACTTTTACAGTGTGTTGAAGTGTTTAAGAAATAATACATGAAAGTCTACAGATCCTCATGGCAGAGCCATATGTTTAGATTCTGTGCAAATGATATAACTTCAAGACAAACAATGTTAATGTTCACAGAATAAAACCCAACTCCAAAGAAGTTACACATAAGTCAGGAAAATGTTATCAATTAACTCTGTGGAATCTGGAAGTTAAAGCAGGTAAGAAAAGCTCTCAAGTTGCACAGCTGTTTTATGCAGTAGCTTGCCAACACTTGTAACCTCTTCTCCAAGACAAATGTGAGCTGGGTCAAGAATGGGATAGAACAACACCCACTATTTTGCCTGTCATAAATGTGCACAGCTGTTAAATTTCAACACAGAAAAATAAACGAATGAACATGAAGTGTGTCCTACAGTATATGCTTGTTAGGCCAGTATTTACCTTCCCAAATACAAAAATTCTGTTTCAAATTATTTTGGACTACTGGAGTAAGAGTGAATGGGCAGTTATCCATAGTAAGAAAGATTTTAGTAGCTGTCTACCATGAGGTTCCATACTGGGTTTAGTATTGTTCAAACTACTTAATTATGTAGGAAAGTTATTAAGGCAAGAAGCAAAGTAGAAAAAGTTACAAATTATAAAAAGTATTTTGGTTGGACAATTTTTCTCCTGGATCTATGAACATTTCTTATCTCATCTTCTTAGACAGAGTGAAGCATGCACTTCAATACTTTTCACCCTGGAACTAAAGCACATGCGGGTTTGCAGTAACACAGTTTCAGTTGTCATGCATGAACCCCTTGTGTAAGGAAATCTATAGAATTTTGAACAGATTTTGTTATTAAGCACCAAATTTTTTTATTTCCTAGTGAAGTAGTGTGGATGGAATTACACAAAACTGATTTCTTCTAGAGGCACTTGTATTTTGGATATAGTAAAGTATGAGAAAACTGGATGGGAATTCATAAATTGTAATTTGTCAGTGTTAAAAAAGCTGAACATCCAAAAGCTTGGCAACAGCAAATATGTATATTTTACACAGTTATAATTTAAGAGTGTTAAAGCCAAGAGCACCCCTACCAGTAAGGTCAAACCAGCTCTTTCAACATAATGGATTTTCAATTTTATATTCCAGCCATATTAAATGACGGTAAGAGGAAGTTAAGTGCACAGGCTTTCAGCTGGTACACAAAATAAATAGAACAAAAGGCACGAAGACTTTTCCAATTGGCATTTTGGTAAACCACAGTCCCACAGATCCTCAAATGAATTGGGAAATCCAAGTTTGCAGTTCAGTGGGGCACAGAGCAGCAAGCACTCTTCAGCAATGCAGATAGACTTTGTACACTCCCTGGGAGATCTGGTCACATCCAACCCTGCTCAAGAAACAACTGAAGCAGGTCTAATTCTCAGTTCAGAGCTAAGCATTTCTTACAGACTCTCCACCCAAGAAAGTCTTGCCTTCTTTTGACTGTACTGCAAATAGCTGACCTCAAGCCAGAGAGGACTGCTGAAAAGGCAGCCTCTGCATTCATTCAGTTCTTCCTTACGTTCTGCTACAAGCATCTATCTTCTAAATCAAACTCCTGAGAGGAGACACAGAATGATCATTAATAATGTACTAAAATCCTTTGCACAGGAGATGGCTTAGCACCACCTTCTAGAGACCAAGTAAAATGTAGGTAATATCAAGAGCCTCTAAGAAAATCTTATCTTTTTTGCAGCTGTATGAATATCAAAGTACCTCTACTCTGCCCTGAAGATCAAGCTCTATTGTTTGAGCAGATTAAAATCAACAGGAAATTACAAATCATTCTTAAGACAGTACCTATGGACAAAAAGGCACAGGAGAAAAAGACATAAACGTTCTTTTGTTTAAATCTATCAGTGCTACTGATCTGGCTCAAAGATTGTGTTGTGATCATAATTCACAAGCCAAGCAGAATTTGGCACCAGAAAAACATTGCCAAAATTAGATTAAATTGAAAGAATGATGAAAAGGAGACCACTTATTTTTCCCAAAGCACGTTTGGGATTTTAAAATTTAAGATTTCAGGGAACTAAAATTAGACCCCAGAGGATTTTCCAAAGATCACCACTCCTTTCCAAAGTTTGTTTCTGTGAATGTCAGGCATACAGATATGCTGAGGTCTTGAATGTACTGAGGAAGATGCATTGTTTCAGGCAAGAGAAACTATTTCTCCTTGCTCCATTACAATCTCATATAGCCCCTTAATAAGCAGCTGAGTGAAGAAAAATATGCATCAGCATCATTGTTTTACTCATCCTGAAAGATGAACTGTCCGATAAAAACCAAAATCAAACTGTCATCTTTGTTCTAAAAGACAGACTTCACAAAGCTTTGGCTAAAACTATGATAATTGAATAACCGTTCCATTTTTAAAATTTAAACACTACATGCTTTACTTCGGGTTCCACTTTTCAATCCTTCTATATTAAGTAACTTTAAGATCTTGGCATGAATTTTTCAGCATGTTTGCCATGGTGGCTTAAAAGAACAGAATTCCCTGTGTCTCAAAGCACACTTAACTCCTTGCTGCTGTGCAGTAACGGCGACACATTACGACTGTTTACTATCTGTGGGCTTAATTCTTGTAATCATGCTAATACAACACTGCCTTTGTAATTCCATCTCTGTGAAAAAAAACGAAGTCAGTTCAAATTTGAACAGCTGAAATACTGGCCTTTGATCAAGAGAGCCTCCAAAGACACACAAGCTTAAAATGATTTAGCTCGACAGACCTACCACATATCTGTGCACTTAACAAATGAAATTAAACAAACACAGGGATACAAAATGGTACACACCAGATCGTCTGCTTAAGCACTGTTATGACCTCATTTTGGTACAGCTTGACTTCATGAGCTTACCTGAGTAATTCAACTTTAATAACTAATTAACACGGTCTTCTCTATTTCTTTTTTCTCCTCCTCAAGGATTTTCTGTTTTGAGTTATCTTTAAGATCAAAGGAAAACTAGGCTTGCTACTTTCTTGGAACAAGTATTTTTGTGCTGGCCAGCTTTTTGAACTAAATTCACAAGACTTACTCCTTTTGCCAAAAGAGCTTGCAAGCTTTTTCACTCCTCAGTACTCAACCACACAACCATCCAAAATGCAAAGAAATCAGAGACAACCTTTCAATAAACTTCAAGATATTTTGGACCTCATGATCCACATCTATATGCATAACACATTCACATCTTTGAAAGCCTGCCCACCAAATCTTTTTTCTGCAATGCTACTAAAAAACAGTTTTCAACAGTTCATATGTTTTAATAACCAAAACAACACCTCTTTTCCCCTCCTCCTCCCATAAGCATAAGCAATGATACTAAGTGAGGATACTCAGGACCAGTCCTTCTACAACTGGCTTTTATGGCAAGGGCAATCATAAGCTGAGACTGTGCTACCAAGTTTTTTTTGATGTAATTATGATCAGTAGGAGTGTTAAAAATGACACCACCTAAAATTTGCATGCAAAAACTATAGCATAGATGCAGCAATGCCGAAAGAAGAATGCTTTTTCAAATTATCTGCACTGCCTCCTCAACAAGTTAGGTCAGCAAAAAACCCTCCTGTCAACATCCAGCAGAGCTATGCTGGTGTAGTTGTTTCAGGAAAGATCCTCACCCAAGAAAAGATCGGCCTCTTTATTCATAAAAGGAAACTTAAATGGAAGCTCTCATATGGAACAACATTTGGATGAAATGGTTTTATAAATTTCATATTTTAACTGTTTCACCCACCTTCCTTACTTCCCCTTGAAAAGGGGTAAAGTGGGCTCATTTTTCTTTCAAATAACTAAAAAACTGGAGAAGAAAGTGCTGATTCAAATTTCTATTTGCACACCAAAAAAATTAGTTAGGGAACAAGTACAGAAAATGTAAGCCCCAAAAGCATTTTTGTGAAGTTGTGAATGTAAAAGCGCTGGGATTTTCTGTTCAAAGTATTTCGTAACATATACAAAACAGATAAAAGTAATTGCTCTAACAATCACTAAATTTCAAGAACAGAAAAGATTACTTCAATCTACTAGTATTTAAATGGCAGATACAGAAATCTGATATCACCTTCTTAAAACTAGCTTAGATGAACCAACATAAGGAAAAGCAGATTCATATATGTTGGATAATGGCTTAAAAATACATTCTAAATTTAAAAAAAAAGCAATTAAAAGGAAGCCGTCTAAAGCCCTCAAAAGCCACACAGCAGTTTCAGGCTCTTTTTCTCATCTCCAGCATAATCCATTCTTGCTCCTTCAAGACTGAATTTCTACATTAAACCTCTCTCAATTGCTCTCTGAAAGGGCAAGATTTCACCACCAATAAACAGAAGTTTATGGAAATGCCAAATGGGACACAGCGTCTGGTTCTTAGCTTTTGCACTGCAACTAAACATGGTTTAGATTTGTTAAGCCATTTTGAAAATACAAAGCCATAAATAATGTTCCACAAATCTTTTTCAGATGTTTTAGTCAAGCTCATTCTCTGAACTCATATACAATCAGATTAACTGCACAATGTTTAAACACTACATGAACTTTATAGAGAACACTAGAAAGCAGTATTTTGGTATGTGGACTCAAACACATAAATGATGAACACTCCTGAACCAAGTACTTTTAACTTCCCGGTTTTAAGGAGACTTTCTTAGTGCAATCTATTCTGCAGAAATGATTGCTCTGTAAAAACAAAACAAAACAAAAAAACCCAGAGCAAATTTCTCAGACAGTATCTACCAAAATAGAAGTTAAGCAACATATTTTTATAATCGTTCAATGGAGGCAAACATAATTCCACTTTCATAATACTGAAATATACTGAATGCTTAGTAGTGGATAAAAAGCTTCAATGAAGTGTAACACTAAACAATTTAAGAGGCTTTCCTGTTTTTGCATTGATGGATAGTCTATTCTTCAACTACCACATCTGAGTACACTAAAACTTGTCTCAATCAAAAGCACTAGAAAAAGATCTTTGGTTATTGTTTACTGGTTTGTATTTTTGAAGTGGCTGTACAAATATAAATCATATTCTGCTGCTATGCGTTAAAGTGACCAATAAAAGTCACCTTGTTCCAAAGAGCACTGTTTTCTAAATTTCCCATAGAAAGTAGATCTTGCAGTAGACTGGCATAAAATAGCTTTATGTAAAAAAGGTATCAGAGTTTTAATGCAGAGATTCATGACCGCCAGAATCTAACTAATCCTAATCTAATCCTAAATAAAGCAATACACTCTCCATCACAAAATATTTCAATCACCACCCTACACACTGCTAAAAATGGGGATTTTTAAACACTGCAGATCATTGCCACTTATTTCCACAATTTGGTACCTGAGCTTTATTTTATAGACAGTTCAATGATGAATCACTATTTTTGTCATAATTTACCTGTAATTAAATTAAAACATTCCACATAACTTGATTTGCACAGAAGTTGTTCACCTACTATACTAAGTTTGTGTAGTGTAGAAACCACACAACCTTTGTAGGAAAAAAAGGTTGAAAGTTTTAAATATGTAACTGGAACCTTGCATATAAGGATCTGGTATTCTTTTACAGATCACGTTTATCTTTTCTGCTATGAGAATATTAACATTTTTTCTGAATAATTGAAATTATAATATTAAAATCATTTCTATCCATTGTTTATTTCTACTTTAAAGATTATTAACAATACATGAAAATATGATTCTTTTCCTGAATACATTTATTCCTATTTTTAAATATTTTACGTAGTAATTTTCCCTACCTGTCCCGTTTTATAATGCCTTGCAAACTGGTTAACCACTCGATAGTCATTTGCAAAGTACTCCATCAGAATTGAGGGAACTTCAGCAAAATCAGTAGGACATCTGGTTCCTAGAGGTAGAATAATTGTAGACGTTAGCATTTGCTATTTTCATTAACACAAACAGTTAACTCTTCCAAAAAGGTTTTGCAATTTTCAGTTTGGACTTTTGGTGAACTTTAATGTTCTTTCATTTATTAAGTCAATATTTTATTTCCATAGCATTATTGTACATATTGCCAGAAAAGCTTCATTATAATCCTACACATTTTACTATAAATCACAAAGTAAAACAAAATATTTGAACAGCTGGGTGAGGCACCTTATAAAGCTCTGGATCACACCCTTTTTAAACTAAACCAGACTACAGCCAAACTGGCCCTACATGAAACACAAAATCTATTTAAGTGTCCTAAACCTAAATCAAACTACAATGTAAATAAAACTCTGCCTTAATCCCATTCACAGTTACAATTTTTAGCTTCCATCTGTTTGCTGAGCTTACTTATGCTTTATATTAACCTTGCTTTATAATACCAAGTCATTCACCCAAGGAACACTCTTGTAGATTGAAGACATGTTCTAAGTAAGTGCAATGAGGTAATATCTTAGTAGTTAGCATTTTCAGAAAACACCTTCCCATAAACCTTATTTACTCTAATCTTTATCAGCACTTTGCACAACGGAAGTTATTAAGAAGCACAATGCATCACCAAATCAAAGCTGCATTTCTAATTTCTATATTAAAGTTAGGGATGTACAAAGATGTTGCTTTAGTAATGGACCCACTGGGTCATCACCTCTATCTCTGTCTATTAGAGACAATGTTAACATTCAACACTAGTCTTCAATTAAGTACGGTTTTTGTTCCTACTATTCCTTCTTGAAGACTACTTTTTAAAATCACTCCTTTGATCTTTACAAACCTTTCTCTAATTTTTCATCTGAATTCATAATCTGTTCCTGCTCAATGTTTTCAGATCGATACTGCTCTTTAGTATAAATAGCATTTCCCACACTTTTAGTTCTTAAATTGAGAGAAACTATATTCTCTCTCAGCCATCATTATCTGAAGGCAAGATGAAGTCTAAAAGACTATCCATTGATGCTCCTCTCTGCACCTGCTTGTTTGAATTCACCTTCAGACCAGAGACACAAAACCATGCCCAACCATTGCATGAGATTTCACCAGTATCTTTTTTAATCACTCTAATACTTGCTGCTGTTAGATACACCTCTGAGGTAATTTCAAATCACATTTGCCCCTTTCACAGACACATTAGCTATTTTTAGTTCTGGATTAACACATAAAACTGTTCTTCTGTTCCTCCACCACTGCTGAAATATCCATTTGATAACATAAAATCTCTTTGTACTCTTTAAATGCAAGATCTACATTGTGTAGCTCTGAATTGCATTTTACTTCTAACACTGCAGTATCCAGTCATTCAGTTCTTCTACAATACACCAATCCTCCTTTTGTGCCATCACATTTCATCACCATAGTATTTGTTGTTGTTGTTGTTTGAAAATAATTTTTAAAAAGCCTAAAACAAGGCAGGTCCCAAGACAAATGCCTGCAGAACTACACTGATGTTCCCTGAGCCATTTATGCTTCCTCAGTGCTCCTTAATAAAGTGACAGAATTCTTTTAATAACCATTAAAGAGACTCCTGGAAAATTACATTATCTGAAAGTCAGAAAAGTAGAAGGTTGGGCAGTTAGCTGGGATACGTTAGTCCTCCTGTAAAACAAGTGTAGGTATTCTCTACTGCATGATAAACTAAAACAGAACACAAGCTAGGTTTCAAAAAATCTTATACACAGACATATGCATTAAAACAAACAATAAATGCATATAGCAAAATGACAGACTATCTTAAAAAGCAGCACATCTTAAGTCAAGTATTATCCAAGTTTGGGGCCCATTAGCAGCAGAGTGAGTTCCTAAATATTTGGGAATGTTAATCAGAAAAGGGAGGCAGGGGAGAGTAGGAAAGATGTCAAATACTCAGTGCATCTCAACTAGAACGTCAATTTTTTTTTCTGACAATAGCCCATAGTCATCTTACTGCCACACTTTGCCATCCTAGTGTCTCATGAGGGCAGACAGCCCCTAACAGACATCCCTGTCTGTTAAAATTTGATTGCCACGCATTCCAAACCCTAAAAAAAGGTTCTCTGCAGAAACAACACAACTGACCTCTGACGCTGCTTTTGCAATGCTAGGTCTGGAACGGAATCCCCTGGGACACAGAGCCACCTGGAGCTAAGGCAACGCTGAAACCATACACAGGGGCTCATGGAAAGTCCTCAATATTAGCCATTTCCTGCCCCTGCAAGACTTTGACATGAAGATGCATACAATTCACCATAAGAGGAGAATCCCACCAAAGCAGTTGCTTTGGGCATATAAGTATTCCTGGAGGTCAAGATGAGCAAGGCGATATGAGTGGAAGGGGTCGGAGAGCGCAATTAACTGTCCCAGGGAGTATACAGAGCTTATACTGAAAGAACATATACAGTGTTCATTTGTTTTAACAATGTCCCGTAGTGACATACTCACACAGCTCAGTCTATTTTAATTTTAAGTGGAAGACTTAAGAAAGAATATTTTGTCACTGAGGGCAAGGTATCTGTTGATAACACATACCAGGGACTCCCGTTTGTATCATTAGCATAACACAAAAATGGTAAAACATAAAAAACCCCCTTCTGACAAGGGAGCAACAATTTCATCTGTTTGGTTGTGTTTGGTTTTTTAAATAAGTTAATGTCTACCGCAAATGGGATTTCCAGCACACTACAGAAGAGGATATACCAAGCAGTCCGCAGGTAAGAAAAGCAACATGCCAAGCAGCTTGAGCCAGACGTGTGTTTGACCCATTTGCCACAACTGCAGAAGGCTGCAGCAGCCTGCAAGCTGTCAGCCAATACACTTACTGCCACTGCTCGAGAAGAGGGACTAAATGAAAAAAAGCAATATTCCTTTTCTATGCATCCACTAAGCTGTGACTGCATATTCATTCCTATTCATTTACATATGATAAAAAGGCCTACCAATTAATCACGCTTGCAAATACAGTATGTTTTTAATTTATCCTTGCTTTAATCAGAATCAACTAGAAAAGGCCTGGCTTTACAGATTTTCCATATTGTCAGTGTATACTCTTTGCAAGAACTAATTTACTAATTTTCCTTAATTCAATTTCCTAAATAATTTCCAACCCAGGATTCGTTGTGCTTTTACACTAGGTACAAGTTTAGCTCAAATTATTTTCAATCCTCCAACTATTCCATTATTATAAACTCCACATAAGGCAAACTTGCAAGAGTGGATACCACCACTAGAGCAAAGATCAGCAGTACCGAAAGAAGAGATACAAATACCTAATTCTTACTAGAAGAAGAAGAATATTCAAGTGTTGTTTGGTTGGGTGTTAGATATCTGGAGATCTGATATTATATTTTCAAGTCAAAGATGTAGAAGTATCAACATGACTCAATCATTTCTCGTTCATCTTCCTTTTTTTTGTTTTTTTTTTCTTTTTTTTTAAAATCTACTAAAACAAAAAAAAATTGCTAGTCTAACTTACTTACCAGTGACATGTTGGTACCGAGTTCTTCCCAGCATAGAATGCATAGCATGTCCCATTTCATGGAAGAGATTCTCCATCATGCCAGGACTTAGTAGCGTTGGTGCACTCCTTGTCGAATGGGGCAGGCTAAGCATAAGAACAACTACAGGCAGCTGGTACTCTCCATTTTCCCTTAACCTGCCTCCACGAACTGTGAAATGACAATCCTTTTCAAGATAAAAGCAAACATGTGGACAGCCAATGTCATTATAGCAATGACATTAAAACAATTACAAAATTATTAAACTAAACTATTAAATCAAACCTAAACACATACTCAGTTATACAAGTTGAATTCAATGATCATTAACAGTGCTGTTCAACAGCAGCATGCTGTTTCTCCATCTTTATTATTTGCTTCATATTTACAAGGAAACTACCTTATTCCATAAAGACTGTGTTGCTTTTAGAAAATAAGTATTTTTTTAGCATTACCAAAACAACTCAATTTTTCTAAAAAATATCACTAGCTCAAAGAAATTTACTGATGTGCCAAATCCATAATTTATAGGTTAAGTTCTCTCCTCATTCTTCAGCAGTAACATCTTTATAAAATATACTGCACAGCACTCCCAGTATATTGTGGAATATTAGCAAAACAGAGTTACATATTAAGCCAGTATAGATTTAAAGTTTGTCCACTTACCACCTTGCTAAAAGTGGTAATTTGCAGATACTTCTACAGAGTAAAATGTCTGTTGTACTGCATCGTATAGTTAATGTACTGGCACTAGCAGCATGAGTAAGCGAGCTGCAACAGTTGGAATCATCTACAGTTTTAAGTAGAACTTCAAATAAAAATTAGTTGTCATTATGAGCTTTCACCTTTAGCGAGTATTAAAATTTCAGTTTGTGTTTACTTATAAATAGTAGGCCAAAAACCAGGTATTTAGAAGTCTACCATTTCTCTAAACACAGTTCTATGACATTTCATAATGCCTGTCATCCTGTAGAACAAAGAGTCTGAGTTCAGCCTATCAAGTGATGTTTTTTAAATGCAAGTTTAGTCACAAAAATATTTTACCTAAAACCACATTTGAAGTTACAGACTTTCCCTGTTTAAATTTAATTTATTTTAAATCAAGATAACTTTTACTAAATTTACATTGAACGCAAATGGCCCTAACGCTGAAGTCATTACTCAAATAAGCCCACGCTGGAATCAGATCGTAAATGTTACCTGATGTGGTTTATCAGGTCGCTGAAAGAAGTCACAATAGATGTATCCTAGCAAACCTTCAGTTTCATGAACAACAGCCTGAAGAAAAAAGTATCATTTCCACAGTGAAAGTACTGATAAGATGTGTAGATTGAAGACATAATATTCTAATCCAAAGTTTTATAATTAATAAATGACAAATAAACTGGGAATAATTAATGTAAAATCTGTCAATAATTTTACTTGGAAAAAAAATATATACAAGATTCACAGCTTGTCCCTCAAGCTACAGCCATTTTTGTATTCCACTCTAACTAATTAGTCACAGATTAGTATTAAAAGTAACACTGTCTGTAGCCCCCAAATGACTTCTGAGATGTCAACAATAATAGAAGCTGATTTACTATGGAAATAAAAATAGAAAGAGTAAGGAGTAAAACATTGACCCACAGGATATAAAGAACAGCAGCTCTTGCTGGAGAAGATCTGGCTGTGAATACATGGAGGGAAGACAACAGAGGAACCTCGGAACCTGAGGAGTAAATTATTGCCCAAGTTTTTATTTTCACCCTCCCTTAAAAAGAGGGCAGAAAAATAAAGACATAAAAACCAATCTCAGAGTAAAGATGACATACAGAATAAAAAAATGTGGCAAAGACACATGACTACTAGAATATGTACCTACAGCATTCTAGTCATCTACAGTCACCTACAAACTGAAACTAAAAAAACTAGCGGGGATCATTCAGAAGGACAGCTTGGAAGGTACAACAACAATCTCCAAACAGAGAAACTGCTTCTGATTCCGTCAGCCTTCACAGAGAGACATAAAGGCCATAAAATACCAAGTATACAAAAGAGACTTAGAGGGAGTATAAAGCCCTTGACGTCTAACTTCAACTCAAATCAGACAACTAGTGTGTGCTTTTGATATGTACACAAGTGATTTAAACACAAAATCTGATTCATGGCTTAGAGGAACACACCATCTTGTCTAACGTCCCTTTGTCATTTCAGATGCTGGGAACAAGAATACTCACCAACTTTCGAACATCTTCAGACCAAACCTCTCCTCTCTGTGTCTGTTCGGCATAAAGGGAGATTCCTAGGAGTTGACTGAACAAAGAGTTCAAACCTTCCATGCACGCCCCAAGAGAGAAAAATGGACAGTACAAGCCAGGATCGATGTTGTACCTAAGGAAATACAACAATCGCAAAACAGTCAGTTGCGCTACATAAACTACAGTCTTCACCTCCAAGTCATAGGATGTAACAAAACACACCCGATAAGCCACAAGGCCCTTATTGTGCATGTTTGGCTTTATTTTTCAAATAGTGAAACTAAGTTACAGACTAGTTATGGAACAGTGGTTCAAGGTAACTCAATTTTTCTTATATTCAAATTGGGATACCAAATTCAGCAGATGTTGACTATTTGATTTTCAGAGATGTGGCAAACACGTAGCTCAAACAGACCATGACAACACCATGGCTGGCCAGGCGGTGGCTTTTGATCCACAAGAGGCCACTGGCACTCAAGTGCCATCCCCATGCCAAGGCTGTACTGTGTGACTGATCAGAAAATGGAGCTGGCTTTCGCTGTGGTGTAAGCCAAATCCTCAGCTGGGGCCAGAAACAAACCAGTAAGCACTGCTGACTGCAGTTTCATCTTTCGCTGCAGCAATAGAAACATCAAAGAAACACAATCACCTCCCATGCAAGAATCACACCTTGAGCTCTGGGGGTTCTCTGAGCCATGTAGAAAGTATCTTACAGCTTTGAGCCACGTGAAGATTTTAGTATGTGATCTGGAGTTCAAACATGGCCAAGTCCTGAGCCTAACATCTAATGACTAATATGTTCAAGACACTGTAGCACAGAAGACACACATAAACTGAGAATGAACAAAAAGCAGTTATAGAAGTAGCTGAGAGATGTATGCAGCCTATACTTGGGCTCAAACTTCCTGAGATTCTGACCCTAAAAAGTAAACAAGCTACAAGGTTATCAAAACAAACAAATGCTTTGCAACTTACACCCTCCACAAGCTGCTCAGGGCCACGCAACTCCTTGGAGAGAACAGCAAAATCAGAACTGGAATCTGCTTGTAGTTCTGCATGCACCCCAAATAGCAATAATGTTCTTGCTCCCTCATTTCACATACAAAGTCCAAGTGTTATTTATACCATTTTCTGGGGTCTCAAAGTAAAGACTGTTTAACTCTAGAGAATCACAGTCCCTCCCTTCTATCTCCTTTCACGCTCTTGTGCTTTTGCTTCTTAATGAAACAGTAACTAGCCACTGAAATTTAAAAACACATCAGCTAGACTACAATAGCTGAACACCAAAGATGAGAACCATGCTATTTTAAGGCCTATGATCAAAAGACTTAGTCAGAGACCAGCTGTGAAAGAGTCAGCTAGTCCCTATCCACTTACCTACCCTTCCTTCCTTCCCACTCCCACACACAATAGAAAAGACCCAAAAACAAAGTCCACTGAGGATGCTGCATTTGCCAACACGCTGCTTACAACTGCAGCTACAGTTCACTATCCAGCTTTACTGCACTGTGATGCACAGCAGGGTGGGTTATTTCTCTAAGCCACGGTACTCGAATATGTCACTGCATTTTGTTTTATTTTTCTACTATCCTTTATATTACCTTATCACATACTCTAGCAGCATTTTGCAACTACCATCATAACATCTGTCAAAAATATTGCTATGCTCAGTTCCAGGATTTTGCTAATTTTCACACTAGAAATACAAGAAGGTAAAGATGATGTATTCCATTTTATTTTTAATTATACTAGAACATAGAAAATAAAGTAGATTTTGTCTCTACCATACTGACACAAGTTCTTCAAGATGCACAGCAACACTTAAATTCACATTCTGCATGCTGCAATACACACATTTTCCTTCTTACTCAAAAAGAGTCTTTACACTAAAAGAACTAAAATAGGCATGATACGAATCACTTTAGATCAGCTTAGATAAAAAGACTGGAAGCAGGTCTCTAAAAGAAACCAGAAGAGATGAGTTAATTTCCGTGTAATAAGCCACAGAAATTTGGAGTACAAAGGACACTCCTTTACACCCGAAGTCCCTCAAAAGTACAGAATTAAAGTTATGTATTGAATAACATGCAATTTTTAAGTCAGTAATTCCTAACAACTGCAGCTCCTTCAACAGTGGCACTTTTTGGAAAGCTGTAGTAGGTAAATCTCAGATGTCTCCAGACTTTTATAGTATCATCCTGTGATCACCTTCTGCTCAGACTGTTACCTTGAAAACTTAAACCCACCACTAAATGCTTCAGTCCTCCTGATTCTGCTCTGAAGCTTTCCCTGCATACAAACTACAAGACCTGTTAAAATGACCCTTTTATTAAAAGGAAAAATAACACCTTTTAGCAGTGAGCCATAGCAACCTCTGTAATAGTTTAGGACTGTTTTTGTCACATAACTTTAAAATCTTATGCCATCATCCTACATACTATTACAAATACTAAGCTCACTTTCCCATTTGTAATTCAAACAATTGCTTCTTTAACTGACTGACCGCAAATCACAGAATCACAGAATCACAGAAACACTAGGTTGGAAAGGACCTTCAAGATCATCAAGTCCAACCATTAATCCAGCGCCACCATGTCCCCTAGACCATGTCCTGAAGCGCCACATCCACACGTTTCTTGAACACTTCCAGAGATGGCGACTCCACCACCTCCCTGGGCAGCCTGTTCCAATGCCTGACCACCCTCTCAGTGAAGAAATTTTTCCTAATATCCAATCTAAACCTCCCCTGGCGCAACTTGAGGCCATTTCCTCTTGTCCTATCGCTAGTTACTTGGGAGAAGAGGCCAACACCCTCGTCGCCACAACCCCCTTTCAGGTAGTTGTAGAGAGCGATAAGGTCTCCTCTCAGCCTCCTCTTCTCCAGACTAAACAACCCCAGTTCCCTCAGCCGTTCCTCATAAGACTTGTGCTCCAGACCCCTCACCAGCTTTGTTGCCCTTCTCTGGACACGCTCCAGCACCTCAACATCCTTCGTGTAGTGAGGGGCCCAAAACTGAACACAGTATTCAAGGTGCAGCCTCACCAGTGCCGAGTACAGGGGCACAATCACTTCCCTACTCCTGCTGGCCACACTATTCTTGATACAGGCCAGGACGCTGTTGGCCTTCTTGGCCGCCTGGGCACACTGCCGGCTCATGTTCAGCCGGCTGTCAACCAGCACCCCCAGGTCCTTTTCCGCCGGGCTGCTCTCCAGCCAGCAGAATAATAAGCTCGCTGTAAAAGCACTGTCTCAAGAGAAGTTTACTACAACGTGAAGCAGGATTTCTCCACATACACCCCTCCAAGCTGGGAAACATGATTATTCTTATTTTTAAAATTACAAAATTTTCTGGAAATTACAAAAATCCTGGAAACCATTTCCAAGCACATGAAAGACAAGAAAGTTCATCAGGAATAGTCAGCATGGATTCACCAAGGGCAAGTCATGCTTGACCAACTTTATAAACTTCTATGATCAAACCACCGGATTGGTAGACATGGGGAGAGCAGTGCACATCACCTACCTGGGCTTCAGCAAGCCCTTTGACACGGTCTCCCATAAGATCCTCACAGAGAAGCTGTCAGTGTACGGGCTGGATGAGCAGACAGGGAGGTAGACTGAAAACGGGCTGAACGGCCAGGCCCAGAGGGAGGTGATCAGTGTCAAAGTCTGGTCAGAGGCCAGTGACTAAGTGTATTCCAGGGGTCAATACTGTCTCCAGTCCTGTTTAACATCTTCATTAATGACTAGGATGATGGGGCAGAGTGTACTCTCAGCACGTTTGCTGATGACACCAAACCAGGAGGAGTGGCGGATATGCCAGAGGGTCATGCTGTCATCCAGAGGGACCTCAATGGGGTGGAGAAATCGGCTGACGGGAACGTTGTTAAGTTCAGTAAGTGCAAAGTCCTGTACCTGGGGAGAACAACCCTAGGCACCAACATATGCTGGGGCCCTCCCAGCAAGAAAGCAGCTTTGCAGAAAAGGACTGGGGGGTCCTAGCGGACACCAAGTTAACATACGCCATCAGCAGGCCCTCACCGCAAAGAAGGCAAATGGCGTCCTGGGCTGCATTAGGCAAAGTATTGCCAGCAGGACAAGGGAGGTGATCCTTCCCCTCTACTCAGCACTGGTGAGGCCACACCTGCAATGCTGTGTCCAGCACTGGGCTCCTCAGCACAACAGAGACATGGACATACTGCAGACAATCCAACCAAGGGCCACTGAGATGACTGAGGGACTGGACCATCCCTCCTATGATGAAAGGCTGAGAGAGCTGGAACTGTTCAGCATAGAGAAGAGAAGGCTCAGGGGGATCTTATTGTTATTAAGGAGGGTGCAAAGAAGATGGAGCCAGGCTCTCTTCAGTGGTGCCCCGTGACATGACCAGAGGCAATGGGCACAAACCAAAACACAGGAGGTTCCCTGTCCCACTTGAACATCAGGAACCACTTTTTCCCCTGTGAGTGTGCCTGAGCACTGGCACAGGTTGCCCAGGGTGGTTGTGGAGTCTCCACCCTTGGAGATACTCAAAAGCCACCTGGACATGGTCCTGGGCTCTGAGTGGCCCTGCTTGAGCAGGGGTGTTGGACCAGATGACCTCCAGAGGCCCCTTCCAACCTCAACTATTCTGTGATTCTGTGAAGATGTCATATGGAGCCTAGGAGTAAGACCACCCAGCTGCAGTGTGAGATAGATTACAGCTTTATCAGAGGAGGACATTGTTTCATGCTAGCTGCAAAAGATTACCACACTCAGTTGAAATACTGGATTAACGTGTTTGCTGCGGGGTGGAGGGGAAGAATTCTGAAATTACTTTATGTTTCATGTTGTTTCTGTCAAAAATGAACATACATACTAGCAGGAGAAAGCAGTGATGTTTCTTCATGGATAGAAGAGCTGACATTATTACATTAGAGGGAGAAAATAAGTGCCTATTCCTTCCTCATTCTCAGCACTCCTTGAACATGTGCGTTGTCCCCATGAATTTACCCCATGATGAAGAGGATGCGGAGAAGGCTTTCTGATAATACACTGTCACTATCCAAAGTGGAGGGAAGAAAAAAAAAAAAAGAAAAAAAAAAAATCAGTCTGCAATAGTTTTGCCTTTTGAAAAAGCACAATACTTATCC